ATCTGAGGCAGGAAACGTAGCCTTATATGGTGTTTTTGGGGTGGTAATTATGCTAAGCTATGAACAGGTGGAATTTACACAGCTCATTTACACCCTTTTCCTGAAGATAGAAGAGTTTGTTGAATCTGACGTGGCATGTTCGTACGAACCCTTCGTAAAAAAATGAAAGACAAATTTAGGATAAGAATACAAACGTTCTTGCATGAGGCCCATTTAAACTAAATATTAAACAGCACAACTGTTCAGTAACAACAAATAACAAACAATGTCATGCAAAAAAACATTTATCTCCATAAAAAGATGTTTGTTAAATTTAATTGTTAAAGCAATTATATGTTTTTGTTTGTGACACATAAACATGGCAATAATTAGTTATAAAACCATGAAAAGATTTAATGAAAATCATTAATTTGTTTATTTCTACAAAATCACTAATTTCTTTATTTATTTCTTCTTGACAGAGGGGAGAAATAATAATGCAGCTTTGAGTAGAGACCATAATTATCTTCGGTGTTTACAAGTCCAACCAACAGTTTTGTTTGGTAAAAGTTTGTCTTAATTATTATTGTTTTTCCCTTCTCGTGCAAACTACAAAAATGTGTTGGTTCAGTGTTGATTTATAAGCTGAATGTTACGACTCTTCCTGTGAATGCCCATGGAGCTTAGCGAGAAAACCTTTTTTATTTTAAGTTTTCATTTAATAATTACCTTCTATTTGCTAAATCTGATTAGACTAATTAAGATTACGGTAGAAATTACTTTAAAATTATGTAGTTAGAATAATTAAACTGAACTTGATRTAACTGGATTTAAATTTGACCTGTTTATTTGTTTTGTACAAATGCCTTTGACTTGTTTTAATAAAATAATGCCATATAAATGGTATGGATGTAACAAGGCAGCTGTGGCAGAAGGGAGTTGTTCTATAGTAGGTGGGTTGCCGGTTTGATCTCTTGTTTCTTCTGTTTCAGTCGCTGTGCCTTTGGACAAGACACCTCACCTGCCKTGCCTGGTGGTGGCGCCAGCGCATGGCAGCCTCACCAGTCAGTCTGTGGCTACACTGTAGCTTACCATCATCAGTRTGTTAATAAATGAATCARTGTAGTGTAAAGTGCTTTGGAGTCTAAAGGGATTTGATAAAGCTGTGTTTGCAATAACAAAGTGAATAGAAATTGTGACACTGCAAACAACAACAACAAAAAATAATAATAATCCAAAGTTGTTTTTTTCAAATGCAAACCATGTTAGTGCTRCTGGACAGATTGTATTACCATTAAAGCCGCAATCTCTTTCTTCAAATAATTTAAAATTGCTGATATTGACCTCTTTCCAAAAAACAGCAATCTGCCATATCTGTACATCATTAATCAGTTACTAAAACGGAGGGAAAACTGGCACCWTGCCGGCCTCTGCCTCTTCTTCTTTCCCTTTTTAATTGCTCCATAGAACAACAGGCACCAACAGTWYATCTGGGGGTGGGGGTGTGGGTGTCAGGGTCTTTATTCCCATCCTGTTCCCCAAWTGCCATTTGGGGAGGGGGTCCTGAAGAAGGGCGGACCGCCAGGTGCGGTCCTGGGCTGTGGGTGGGCTCGGGGCTTTGACGGTTGCCTGGGCGGGGCTGGCTGTCCATCCTCCCTGGTAATGCTTGGTCTCCTGAGGTGTGGATCTTGGTTCCTGTGGGTGGCCCCCTGGCTGGAGTGGCTGCCGGGTTCCGGGGGGTGGACGTCTGGGGGGGTGCACTTGGTCGTTGGCGGTGTGGTGGGGTGGTCATGGGTGTGGCTTCTCTGCGGCGGGGGGCTAGCCGGGCATCCTGGTGTGGCCCGGGACGGGCCTTGGCTACCTGCTCCTCTCCTCTCCACCTCAGAATGATTGGGTCTACCWCCTGGGTTSGGGTGYGTGCTGCCTCCAATAGGGGGTGGTGCATGTCCTGGACCTGGGGGGTATAGAGTGTGTATCGGGGGTATGAGTGGAATGTGGCGTCCTTGCATGTCTTTGATTGAGTGGGGGTGAGGATGAGGGTGGGATTGTGCGATTGTATATGTTTGGGTATTTGTCAGGCTGCCGTCTGGACTGCCCCTACTGCTGGTTTATCTGGGGGCCCACTGCCATTCGCCTCCCCGGTGGGGTGTGCGGCTGGTCGCCGGTATGCTGGGGGTTCCCGGGGTCTGGGGCTGGGCGCTGGGGTATGTGCCGGCCTGGCCTGGTGACTGCCTGCTGGGGCTCGGGGCCTCTGGACCTGTCGGGCTTTGGCCTGGAGGGGGTGCGCCCTGGGAGCCCGGACCTCTGTGCCCTTTCCTGGATCTGCTCTGGTGTGGCGGGTGCTGGTGGGGCCCATGAGTTTGTCGCTGCTGGCCCCTGGAGCTGTGTGTGTGGTCGCTGGGGGAGTCTCTCCCAGTTCTCCCCTATGG